GTATGTCAGAGTTACGACACAAGTATAAAGTATACAAAATGTAGATAGTTACACAAAGATTGTAAAAACAAGTTTGAAAGGATTTAGGTTTTTATAATATTTATTCAGATAGAATTACAGACCAGTGGTTATTAACAACTATTATACATAGCTTCACACACACACACACAAGTTTCATCCACATCCATCACAAGGTCATTCGGGCACTGCCTTATTAAAAATTATGATTATTTTGTACACAATAGACCTGTAATGTTCACTGAAAGCTTTGCCCAATTTCATGAAGATACACACAGTAAAGTCAGAATTATAGCAAGCATGTTTATGTACAGCTTCACAGATACTGACTCTGTCAATATGACTAAACCTGTGAACAGAGGTTTAAAGACAAAACCGGTTCTAGATAAGCCATATTCCTACTGTTTTATATCAAAGAATTAATCAATACAGCAACCTTATATATATTATTTTAAAGACAATTTTTTTATTTAGTATGTTTGTGTGGTAGTCTTTAGATGACTAAGCCTTGCTTAACACATTCACAGCTATCAGTAGTATTAGTAACTGCCATTAAGTATATATAAAATTAAACAAAATCTCATATGTCACAAGAGAAATTTGGCACTGAAACATAACTGTCTGTGACCGATCAGTATGTCATATGGTCCATAACTAGAAGTCGGTTCTGACCCACTGGTGAGGCACATGACAGTGAACTTAAGAACAACATGACTAACATTTTGTAACATTTAACACAAGAACCGCCAAGGCCATCAATTTGATGATTTTCACTTTTAAAATTTACGTATCTTTTTTTGTCTGACAGTTCTAGTGTGAAACTGGATATAAATGAAAAAGTCAATTAAAAGATATAGTAAATGTGGACAAAATCTAATTTTTATTCATTTAATATGTACCAAAATAAAGTAGAAAACTAGCTGTATTAATGCTATCACTATCAAGCCAATTCTATCTATCCATTGCATGTGTTTATATTATCTTAAAATATATATACTCATTCCATCCTTAAGGAAACTAGTCATTTCCATCCCTTTCCTTGCTACATGGATGCTAGTAGTATCAATCATATACTTCTTCTGTGTTGTGATATCTCTCAGTTGAGATCCTCCATCCACGTCCATCGCATCCAGGTGTTCTTCAACAACTCCGACCATGGTTGGAATTTCTGCCTTGAAAAAGATTAGATATTCTAGCTGAATAATCAAATATGTATATCCATATATTAAATAAACATTTTTTAACTTCACATTTTCTAGTACAAACAGCCAATGTTACTACTGCTTGTTATACAAACTGTCATAAAATATTTTTACAATATACCTGCGATCTAACAAATCAAAGTAACTCATTTACTTCAAATAGTAGTAAAAAAAAACTTGTGTATTTGTACCAATATAGTGTATCTGTCTGAGAATATTTAATATGTATACCTATCAGCTGGATACACTGGTTTGTATACTTTAAGCTTGTATTTATGTGTGTTCTTTAAAATGATAAACAACTGTTATTCAATGAATGAGAATTTAAGCCATCAGAATATTCTTACATTGCTTGCTAAACCTACCTAGGCTTGGGTAAGCCTAGGTAGGTTTAGCAAGCAATGTAAGAATATTCTGATGGCTTAAACTTCCTTCAATGACAAGAAATCAGGTAAGCCTAGGTAGGTTTAGCAAGCAATGTAAGAATATTCTGATGGCTTAAACTTCCTTCAATGACAAGAAATCAGGTGATTTCTTGTCATTTAAAGAAGTTTTGTATCTTTCAATATAATTTCTCACAAAAACATTTTCAGTAATGAAAAGAACACTTATAAGAAACTATAAAAAAATTCGAGATTTGCTGTTTGTTCCAAAGTCTTCTAAATATTTTGTTAGTTTATTTTTTTCAAACTAGAAGAGATCCAGCTAGTCACATGGATAATTTTATTCACAAAGAATTACAGTATATTAGCAAATATAAACTTGTGCTTTGTGATAGAGAGAGAAAAAAAATTGTACTGTTTATAGACAAGACTCCTCAGAGATATGCAGAGATTAGATTTTTTTATGAATTTTTCTAAAATAGTGTTACACAATAAAAAATATCATTTCTAAAATATTTTTGGGTTGAAGATTGTTCAAACAGAGTAAATTTTGAAACTTGGTATGCATGTGTGGACTTGAGATCTGACAGGAGCTCTGCCATGTGGATAGAAGTTACTGAAAGGAACTCTGTCATGTGGATAGAGTCACTGAAAGGAACTCTGTCATGTGGATAGAGTTACTGAAAGGAACTTTGCCATGTGGATAGAGTCACTGAAAGGAGCTCTGCCATGTGGATAGAGTCACTGAAAGGAGTTCGGCCATGTGGATAGAGTCACTGAAAGGAGCTCTGTCATGTGGATAGAGTCACTGAAAGGAGCTCTGTCATGTGGATAGAGTCACTGAAAGGAGCTCTGTCATGTGGATAGAGTCACTGAAAGGAGCTCTGTCATGTGGACAGTCACTGAAAGGAGCTCTGTCATGTGGATAGAGTTACTAAAAGGAGCTCTGCCATGTGGATAGAGTCACTGAAAGGAGCTCGGCCATGTGGATAGAGTCACTGAAAGGAACTCTGCCATGTGGATAGAGTCACTGAAAGGAACTTTGCCATGTGGATAGAGTCACTGAAAGGAGCTCTGCCATGTGGATAGAGTCACTGAAAGGAACTCTGCCATGTGGATAGAGTCACTGAAAGGAGCTCAGCCATGTGGATAGTGTTACTGAAAGGAGCTCTGCCATGTGGATAGAGTCACTGAAAGGAACTCTGCCATGTGG